CCTCCCCACTCCCTTTCGCTCTACGAATATTTTGACGACCGGCACTGCATATTGTCGTTGTTTTTTTTGCCACCGGCGATGGCACGTTAATTAACTTTGATCTAAACTGGTGGTAGTGGCAGGTAGAGCGCAGTGGGGGATATCGTGGGGGAACATCGTGGGGGGCGACGCACAAGCCAATTAAACACTGTGGCGAGTGAGACAGTCATTCCCGAACGTCGCCCCCCAAAAATTGTCCTCGATGTCGTCCCCTCACCGGCACTACTGCCTCGCAAAGCCGGCCAATAAAAAGAGAGAATCCGCCGTCGCCAGGGCAACACCAGCCACCAATGAGTCAGCGCCAGTCAGCGCTACCAAAGCGACAGCGCCGCCAAAGCGACGACAGCCGCCGTCTCTCTTAGTCATACAAGTCATACATCGCCATTTAGCCCTGACACGACCTATCCCCTTCAATTACCAAAATATACGAGATGAGACCTCGGCGACGCTCGAGCTCCACCGTCACGTAAGGGGCCCGATCAAAACATCAGGCCCCGGATTACTGGATTAGGGGTTTGTGGACGACATCGTGGGGGGTAGAACCTTATAATTTCACACGCTCGCTACTTTCAGTTGAGAGCCCTGGGGGACACACCGGCCGGTGTCTGTTACCAGTAAGCTCTAGTGTGGGGTTTACACAAACAACGGCTCTTTAAAGACTAACGCTAATCACGTCAATCACACTGTTTCATGACTGAATTTTGATACTCCTCTTTGGTCTACTCGTTCAAACATATATTACATCACTGGTACTGCTGTTGGTTGGGCATGTTGCCGTTCTGGAAGTTTGCCATGTACTGCTGCTGGTACTGGTCGCCGTAGTTCGGGGGCATGTGGATTCCCGGCTGCGGGTGGCCTGCCCCCGGGTAGGGAATCCCGTGGGGCATGGGCCCCGGCGCCATCTGGCCGCCCGGCATCTGCTGGCCCTGGCCGCCCTGCGGGGGCTGCTGCATCGGCATCCCCTGCTGCTGCTGTGGCTGGGGCGGCGGCGCCGGCAGGTGGTCGGGCAGTTCCTGCGAGTTGCCATCCAGGGCGTCGCCGTCGTTGTCGCCCAACCCTTCCTCGGGGGCATTAAGACACGCTTGGATCAAGTTTTTCCCTTCCAGCTTCGTCACCAACGGCTGGAGCTTGGGCGTGGTGAACGTGTACACTAACCCCGTCTCCAGCACCACGAGCAACAACACCTGGGTCCCCGTGAGCACCAGCAACTCGTACGCCTTCTTCATGATCCCCGCCTTACGTTTCAGGAACGTGATGTGGCGTCTCAGCTTGTCCTGGATGAACTTGATCTCGATCTTGCGCCGCTCCTTCTGCTGCTTGCCCGACCCCGGCTGGTCGTCGTCGTCGTCGTCGTCGCGCTCGGGGTTCGCTGGCACCTCGCCCCCCATCAACGGCCCGTCGTACTGGCCGTCTCTTTCCATTTTGGCTTCGCTGGCCTCAGACATCCTAGCAGTTAGTATTTGAGTCGCACAAAGTGTTTCAAGTGGGTTTTGTTTGAGCTTTCGTCATGGTGATTGTTGGTCAACACTGCGCGCGATAACCTCCGGGGCCACATGGCCGCCACGGGACGCCCCGCTAATGGATAAGCTTTCTCTAACCACGTTTAGGTCGTCAGAGATGGTCCCATCCGTCTCACTGCCCTACACGCTCGACTTCCGTTGCGGCGCTTCGACTAAGGCTGCCACCACGACGCGTGGATGGACGAGTGAGGGTGGCTGTCCCAAAGCGGTAGGGGGTGTCTCCATTGGGAAGGCGAACCCAACTGGGGCTTCCGGCGGACGCTGGCGGCCATTCCTCCCCTGGGGCCGAGGCAGCGGTGGTGAAACAAACAACCACGAAGCGGGCCCGCTTCGCTGACTTACCTGGTGGTGGTTGGTGGGTGTTATTTTTTTTTTTAGGAAAAGTGCAACTTTGGGCAATTAACAGCAGGGTCTCTCGTCTGTGTGCAGGCAGTGACCCCGGCGGCGTGGCCTCTCCAGCCGAGCAAACCGCCCCGAAAACTACTCTGCCGCCACTACTATCTAATCGGGAAGACGCGGGGGGTGCCAACGAGTACCTTGCTTGCGCTCCAGCTGGCGTACACCCCCGGCGACCGCCACTTGGCCACGCCCCGGTGTCTTTTTTTACGCCTCCTCCTTTGGGAATTCGGTAGCCGCACGCTCGGCTCTTTTTTTTTCGTCACCCCTCACTGACAAAAAAAACACGCCTTCACCGATAATCCTTCTTGCCTCGTGGCATAGCTCTGCCCCTCCGCCTAAGCCCCCTTCACAAATCGGGGGCCCCTCTACCACCATCTCCCGCCTTCCTAAACCGGTCAACCCTCTCTCCCAGCCCCTGGCAGTCCTTCTTTGTCCCACGAAGCCTGCTTGTTTGCCCCTCGTCTCCTCTGGCGCCGCCCGGTGTCGTCATCCTGCAAGCTGACACCATAGCCGCGGCCACAGCAAGCCTGACCGGGCCCCCCACAGCATGTATGGAAACCCCAGCCTTGGCGGCAGGCGGTAGAGACGTGCCCCCGGCCTGCCTCCCCCAGCAGGCGGCCCCGCTGGATCGGGCCACTTTTCGTACCCATTCGGTAACTGCCGACGCGATGCGACGTGCAACCCACTCCAGCGACTACGTCAAACGTGGAGAAAAACCGTCTCGGGACGCTTGCGGGTTACCAGCGTTTGCCGAGCCCATTAGTTCGGCAGTTTCGGCACTGGTAAACGCCGCCTACGCCTCGCTACTGTCAGTGTCGACCCTTAATTCAGACGGGTTGCAAGGCAGCTCTCGGCTTTGCGATGCTCCACTTTGAGCTAAATTGATGGCCCACGTAACGCAGCCCTGGTGGTTGCAAACTAACCACCACCACCCCCTACCCCAACGCTACCAAACCTTCAGGCACGACTCAGGTACCGACCCTCGCCTCACTAGCTGTATTGATCTCTATTCTGTCTATTTGCTCACCACCCGTCTCCCGTCGACCCACACCGCCACGCAGTTGCGGTCGTCGCCGCCAAACACCCACTTACTCACCCTCTCCTCGTCGTTTTCCCACTCAAACGTATCCACCGGCAGCCCGCTCACGGCTAAATCGATCAACTGAGCGTCAAATTGCTTTCCCTGGTCAAACAGCCCGAGGCGGCCGTCACTGCCAAACAGCTTCGCCCCAGCTACCGTCGCCAAGTATAACGCTTCCGCCACCGAGAGCTGGTCCTTATCGCTGCCCAGCGTGATCGCCACCTGGTGACTCGTAAGCACCGCCTGCTTTACCATCGAGAGCATCAGTGCATCGTACCCGCCCAGCACGTCGGTGCCGAGAGCGACGTTGAGCTTGTCGTCGTACAAGTACTTGCGCACAGGAGCGTTACCTGACGACAAGAAGGTGTTGCTAGTAGGGCAATGGCTCACCAGACTGTGGTTGGCCTTAACGCGAGCGATGTCGTCGGCAGACATGTGGACGCAGTGGGCCAACACCGTCTTGTTGGTGAGCAAGCGGTACTTGTCGTAGACGTGGGCGTACAGCTTACAGTCGCTGAACTGCTTGAGCACCATGTCAATCTCGTCGAGGTTCTCACACATATGGGTCTGAACACACTTCCCCGTCGCTGCCTCGTCGCCTAGCCAGGTAAGCATGTCTCGAGTGCACACGGGAGCGAAGCGAGGAGTGACAATCGGCGCCACAAGCTTCCCCAGCGGATCAAGAGCCGCGATCTTATCGTCAAGCCACGCCAGCAGCTTTTGACACGACTCCAACAGCTCCTGGTAGTCCTCGTGGCCCGGGTTGGTGTCCATACACACTTTGCCCACCAACGCCCGCTGGCCAGCGGCGTACGCCTCTTCGGCAAGCGTATAGGTGGTGGCACTATCGATAGTGGCAAAATACGCCGCCCACGTGGTTCCCGACCCTAACGTCCTTTGCACCACTTTGTGGTACACTCGTTTGGCGAGCTGGTTGTCGTCAGCGATGCGTTTTTCCAATTTGAACGTGTACTGGTCCAACCATTTGAGCAACGGGATTCCCAGCCCCACGCCGATATTGGGGTACTGCGGAGCGTGGATGTGGGTGTCTATGAACCCGGGAAACACCCATTGGCACGGGGCAAGCTCCACCACCTTCACCAGGTCATCGGTAGCCTTCACTTCGTCTAACGGCCCGATCGCGACGATGGTGCCGTGGCCATCGACTTTCACCGCCAACTGGTGGCGAATTCGGAGCTGGCCCAACTGTGGGGTATCGATAAATGTACCATAGTATATGGTATCGGCGATAGAAGCGGTTGCCGACATGGGATCCTCGGCTTCGAGGTGTGCGGCACGGGTGCTATATAGGGTTGGCTGGCGGCGATAGATACCGGAGACCCCGCCGGCACCGCCGCCCCACCTTTTTTTTGATAACGCACGTGACGTCTACCATGCCTACTACTCTTTTGCAGAGATACCGCCTTAATGCGAAGCCTGGGTGGATGCAGTGATAACTCCAGTGCAGAACGATATCTATCAATACGGTAGATACCACTGAAAATTAGTTTATCAAAAAACCAGTTCTTCTGAAAGTTGAAAGTCAATTCGTTATATTGACACTTCATTAAATCGAATAAGACTTGACGAGATCGTCTTCAACAATGCTACTTATTCTACGGCAGTCTCATCTGATGGATAAACCATAAAACCACACATTCTACAAAAATTTGATGGGATCTTCAAACAGGCCGCCTTGGCGACATCACATTACCCGTGTATGTATTTTGCGATAAATATGCTCCACTAAAAACGCTTAGTGGTGTTCCTTCAAGTGTTGGTATTCCCAGGTGTAGCCGAAGATGATGACGGCAACAGCAAGGTGGAGCAAAGGCTTGGCCGAGGCGTTGTCGCCGTCGAAGTAAGCAGCCTTGTACTTGCCCCAGGGTGTGGTGGGCTTCTTGGGAGCAGGAGCAGGACCTTGAGGAAGCTTCTTGTAGAAGGACACAACCTCTTGCATTCTCTTGGCGTTAGGGTTGGAGCCCACGTTCTATTTGTTAGTATTCAAGTTTGCAAAATTGAGTATGGTTTTGAGAATCACTTTTGCCTGGAAATGGAATTGGCTTAGCTTGTCGATTAGGTGGCTATTAACCTGATTTAATCAGGATATAATGAGCCATTTTGACAGCTTTTTGCAAGCTTTTTGCCATCATGTTTGGCGCGCCACATCGTGATTGGATAGTAACACACGACGCTGCCAGTTCCAGACCAGGCTCAATGATCCACGGGAGCTAATAGGGATATCAGCTCAACACGCAAAGCACTTACCTTCGCCGAGGCGATCTTGGGGGGGATGATGGTGGAGAGGTTTCTTCTGGTGACGAGAGAAAACATGCTTGGTGGTTTTTTCGTTCTTCGCTCGGATGAAAATTCGCTACCCAGGTGGGTGGTAGTGCGGGCCGCGGACCTATGTGTAGGATGTTGAGCGAAATGATTGGCCAATGTTGAGTGCGACCCCCGCGACCGGTAGCACTGAGGACGAGTAAGCTCACGAGGGGACTGGTTAAATAGAGTATTGACATTTGAATTTAATCATACTCAATGGTGGTGTGTAGATTTAATTTGAAACGAGTGGTTTGATATGTCGTGATTATCTCACCTGATGTCCTACTAATTCTAATACTTCAGTAAGGAGTGTTCAATCAAGCAGGAAAACCTCTTCTACCTTATCCCAATGATCTCTTATTTATCCATTATAACGATTGTCATGGTAATCCCATCAGGTGATGCTAATTTGGGAAACAATCTTTGTCGTTAATTCTCATTTATGTGAGATATGCTGCGAACTCAAGAGCATTGCAAAATACATCACCAAAAGGTCTCAAAATCGTATAGCATTTTATAGAAACATTCATCTTATTCCATGCTTTCGTAGTTTCGCAATTCTTATCATTTACAACTGACTAGACTGGCAATCATTGGGTGTTCAAATATATTAACTAAAATCAGGAATTTGGTAGTACTTCCAAAGTCATTGTACTGAAGGAGCGAGTCGTAGCCCCATCGAAGCAAAAAACGAACGACGACACCTGGATACCAGCTGTCATCCTTTCCATTCACAAGTATCATAATTCACCCGCTCACTCTGGCTACACTGTCCCATGATGCCGTTTATTCTATAGTACATATCATTATCGTCATTAGGCCTCGCTAATGTATAACACTAAACGTTAGTAATCACTCCAATTCAAAACCTTCCAACTAAGCTCTGGTATATTTTACTTACCGTTGTTGCCCCGGATAAACACGTCGCCCCACTCTTTGGTCACCAGCTCGCCCGCCATCTCCTTACCGTTCTCCAACACGATGTTCATGTAGCCGTCAATCGACTGGAGCGAGCCCCGGTACAAAAGCCCGTTGTGCAACTTGACCACGACCAGGCTGCCGATGATGTCGCTGAGGAAAGTCGAAGGGTCAATGGACATTGATGGACAGATTTTCGCGCCGCACAAAACTAGGTGGTGACTATGACAAAATGGTGTTCATAAGTAATGTGTGAATGTTGTGTGAATGTTGTGTAATGTATCTAAATGTATTTATAAAATCAAAACGCCTGTAACCCAATGCAATTAAAACTTCCAATCCGCGTCCGCCAGCTCGATCGCCCACTGGAACTTTTCCCGCAACGTCTTTGTGAACAACTTCTCGATGGGGACGTTGAACTTCTTCGAGAACATCACCGTGAGACGAGGGTCGATGTAGTTCAATTTTGAGGTGCCCAACGACACCTCGGAGTTGTCCTCTTTGTCCTTGAGCTGCAACTGGGTCGTTTGGAGCCGCAGTTCGATCGTTTCTACTTGAGCCTTTAACTTCTCCACCGTCGCCTTCGCCTTCGGCTCCACCGCACCGGTCTTGATCTCGGCGGCGTACTCCTTGGCCTGCTCGTCAATCTTCTCCATCCGCTCCTTCAACACCGATTTTTCAAGCAACGGCTTCTTTTCCAGCTTGAGCTTCTCGTTGTCGCGAGCGAACTTCTTCTCCGCTTGGTCCTTTTGCCGAGCGATTAACCGATCAACAATCTGTTGCTGGTCCTCCTTCAGTATGTCGTTGATCTCGTGGAAGTACTTGGCCTCCTTCTTCTTCAAAGTCGGTTCAAGCAGCAACATCATCTTCTTGAGTCGGATCTTCTGCCACATCAACTCCTTGATCTTATCGGTAATCTTTTGTACCAGTTCCCCGTGGTTCTTCAGCACCGTACGCTGGTGATTACATAAGATGGCCACCGTACGGTTGGCAGCGTTGAATTTGACCACTTTCTCTGCCACCGTGCCTTCGTTCTCAATCAAGTCAATCTGGTCTTGCATCGTCTTGGAAGCGTTATAGGTACGGAACACTTTAGCCGACAACCCCTTCATGTAAGTCTGGAACTTCTTATTAAGGATGGTGGGGTTGATGCGGTCAAACAAGTCGTCCCCGGGTTGCTTGGGCGCCTTTTTGAATATTCTCAAGTTCTTAAACACTTGAGGCGACACCTCCACTTCCTGGTAGAACCGGATCGAGTCCTTACCCAAAAAGTCGAAGATGACGGTGTGGGGAGGTTGCAAGGTCAAGTGCTCAAACCGCAACGAACAACAACCAACGGTATCGGCTTCATCGTCACCCTTTTCACCACCGGCTCTAAGGGCAAACTTATCGATCAAATAGGTAGCGGTGGCCATTTGCCGTTCTTGCATCACCTCCAGCTTAAGCATTTTGGTATAGTCCTTGCGAATGTCTTCGATGTGGTTCTTAAGATTACGAGCGGTTTCAAACTTTTTAAAGTCCAGCTGCCCCTTCACTGAAGAGTTAGCAGCAAATCTGACGTATTTCTGATTGTCGGCGATATTTTCTTTCCACATCGCCAACCAGGTGACGGTGTTATCATGACGTACTTCACCCCATTCGTGACCAGGGGGAGGTGGCGGTACGGGACAGTCCTTGGACATGTTGAGGGTCACTTGTTCAGGCATCACCCGGCGCTTAAGCTTACCGGTCTTGGGGTGAGCCCCACGACCACGGAATAAACCAGGGGGTTCAATGCGGAAGTTACCCACCATTTCCTTACGACCGTTCAACATACAGTACTTGTAAGGTTCTTCAAACTTTTCCTTTTCTTCCTTGAGCCGTTTCTTCTCGTCACGAGTCATCGCCTTCTTCCGTTCCCGTTCTTGGTCGTAGTGGTTGAAAATCTTGGTAAAGTCCATCTTATCAAAGTCGGTGATATCTACGTCACACCCGCCAGCTTCCTCAAGCACCTCTTTGAAGTCATTGAAGAAGTTCTTTTGGAACACGGGGTTCTGGGCGTGGTCAGTATTAATCATGGCCCCGAAAAACCCAGCCACTTCCTCGGCCTCAATTGGCAACAGCACCGGTTTGCCGTCGTAGTATAACTTGACATGCTTCGGCAACGGCTCGTAGGGAGGCGGGAACACCACCCCGTTATGGTGTAAGCTATCCCACTTGACCTCACCGTCAAGGTCACCGGCTTCCCACCACTTGTACTTCTCTTCTTCCTCTTCTTCATTAGTGCTTTGAGTATTAGGAGTGGCCGGAGTCTCGTCTTTGACCAACCCGTTAGGGGTAGCTTCCTTTTTTACCTTAGTCGCCTTAGGTTCCTTTTTCACTGCCGCTTTCTTCGTCAGCGCTGATTTATCGGTAGCTTTCAGTTTAGTGGTGGTCAGCTTTTCCTTCTTAGTGGTCAGTTTCTCCTTTTTCGGAGCCAGTTTCGTCTTTGGGGTGGACTTGGCCGTTTCCTTCTTCGCCTTGGTTTTGGGAGCCTTTTTGCTTAGAGGCATGTCGTCTTCGGAATCAACGTCCATGTCTTTCACTTTCGACAACGGCTCGTCGTCGGAGTCGGAGTCGTTCACGCCCGGCTCCCGCTTTATCGTCTTGCGTCGCTTGGTCGGCACCACCTCATCCTCATCTTCGGAGTTGGTGTACGGTGGCGTCGGCCGTTTCTGGTGACGTTTGGCCAAGGGCATCTCATCGCCAGAGTCGTCATGCACCTGGCTAAGAGGGATGTCGTCTTCCGATGAGCTCATTGCTAAATCACGCTAGGCGTAGAATAAAAACTTCTCGCAGACGCGTTGGCCGGTGTGACAATTTGTTGCGGTGCGCAATCGAACTTCAGCCACCGCGCAAACTGAGATGCGGAGACACGTCGTAAGAGACTAGAGACAGCTAGTGGCTGAGTCACAAGAGAGGGTGTATAGCATCAGTAATGAAACGTAATGAAATTTCCCAAAAAAAATTCCTAGAGGAGTCTTTACTTGAATTAGGGACCACTTGCCTAGCACTTACACTCGAAGCCCTAGGGTGGCTTGCAAATTTCATTTCAGGTGAGATCAAGATCAGATGCCCAAAAAAGTTCCTACGACCGCGATAGATCGTGAGATGACTGGGAGAAAGTTTAATCTCGTACCGTAGGAGGCCGGAGATATATAGACAGCAGATATCAGCGTTGCACCGACTCTTATCTCATTGGCTCAGCGTCGATTAATCCTTGTGCCGTTTTTGTGCCCCCGGGCGAACCCTGGCCTATCATTTGCAGCTATTGTTCAGGTGAGAATCACGGGGACAATCGCCATCACCCTTTGCAACAATAGCCGGGGGTCCGGACAGAGCTGATCCACTAAAACGATAAGGTAGAACCCATGTGGGCCACACCCCTAAAATGACCGGCAACCACCGAAGCAACACCCATTCCCGGGCATTTACGACAAATACGAACTGGTGACGACTGCGGGGGAGGGCAGCGCCGTGTCGTCTACTCACGGCTATACGCGAGGGGGGGTGTGAGGACAGTTCCACAAGCCTTATACTTCAGGGTGATCACTCATCCGGGCACATGATTGCGGATCACCAGTGGGCGTGCCGTACAAGTGCCCTTCCCCGACCCCTCAGACAAGGTCCCACACGGCGTTTGCTAATCAGTTACGGCGCTCATTCCAATCGCGGGGCACGAGCGTTTCTTGGTAAGTACCCCGGAAGTCCCCCGGATCACTGCGCAGTGCAGTGCTTTATCGCACGGGGGCAGCCACTCCCGGGCGTGGGCGCGGCGCACGACCCCTGTGCTTCCATTGTTAATTCCCCTAGTCCGGTGCCCCGGCATGCCGAGGACCGAATCTTGGTAGGTATCGATTGTCGGGGTCGACGCAGGCGGTTAATTTTCCCGTTCAAGGTACGGAGGAGGCCTTACTACCAGGCCGTCCTCAGGTTGCCCGCTGCGGCCTCGGCATCACCTTCACTTAGGGGCATCCCCTCCATCACCTATCATCCTCGTCTCACCCAAGCAGCCTCGGCATGCACCAGGCGTGCCTCACCCACGTCTGATTAGATACGGCAAGCCTTGCGGGCGCGGCGGAGTCAAGAAGCCTTAGTAAACCCCTAGTAAAGTGGTCAGTGGGAGGCTTCATTGGTAGGCTTGTTAGCGAGTTAGAGGCACAAACGTGGATAATCCGGCGATGCTTTGTTCGGCACCGGAAAGCCTCATCTTGCTGTTTTTGTCACCGCCGACTGATTGTAGCTAAGTCGGCTAATATGCATCCCCCACATTATAATACCCTTAGGATACGGCAAAGAAATTTCTTGCCTCGACGCCCGGCTATATATCCTCCTTCTCCCTCCCCCCTATAGATGACCGCCAGCAACCCCGCCATGGAGACGGATTTGGAAAAAGTGGGCATCGACCCCTACGACTCCAAGCTCGACCATGTCGACTCCAAGATCGAGCCCCGCTACCTGGTGGTCTCCAGCGACACCCCCGAGGCCGCAGACGCTCCCGGGGCGGTGAAGAGAGGCCTCAAGTCCCGTCAAGTGCAAATGATTGTCCTCGGTGGCACCATCGGTACCGGGCTTTTCATCTCCACCGGTAACATTATCGCCCAGGCCGGCCCCGGGCTGGCATTGATTGCCTTTCTTTTCATGACCACCCTTTGTTTCAGTGTCACCATGTCCCTTGGGGAGATGGTCGCCTATATCCCGATTACGGGTTCTTTCGCCCAGTTCGCCACCCGGTGGGTTTCTCCCGCGATCGGTGCTGCCAACGGTTGGAACTACTGGTTCTCGTGGGTGATCACGTTCGCTCTTGAGCTTTCGATTATCGGCGATGTCATCGGCTACTGGACCCACGCCGTGCCGCTTTGGGCGTGGATCACGATTTTCTTCGTGGTGTTATCAGCGCTTAATTTCTTGCCTGTCACTTTTTACGGGGAAATCGAGTTCTGGATGGCGTTGATCAAAGTGTTAGCCGTTGTCGGCTGGTTGATCTACGCCCTCTGCATGGTGTGTGGCGCTAACAACGTCAGAGGCGCCGTCGGGTTCCGCTACTGGCACCACCCTGGTGCGTGGGGTCCCGGCTATATGGTGCAGAGCGATGTCGCTACCGGCCGCTTTTTGGGGTGGCTTAAGTCGTTAATCGCCGCCGCCTTCACCTTCCAAGGTACCGAGACCGTCGGTATCACCGCCGGTGAGCTGAAGAACCCGCGTAAAACATTGCCCCTGGCCATCCGCAAGGTCATCTGGCGTATCCTCATTTTCTACGTGTTGTCGATCTTCTTTATCGGTTTACTTGTCCCCTATGACGACCCTCGGTTATCGGCTAACCAGCCCGAAGATTCTACTATTGCATACTCGGCTACCTCACCGTTTATCATTGCCATTTTAAACAGTGGCACCAACGTCCTCGACCACATTTTCAACGCCGTCATCTTAAGTACGGTGATTTCCGCCGGTAACTCGAACGTTTACTTGGCCAGTCGGGTGTTATACGCGTTGGCTGAGTCGTACGTGGCTCCTCGCTTTTTGATGTGGACTCCTTATAAGGGGGTTCCCGTGCTCTGTGTTGCCATCCTGGCCGCATTTGGTGCCTTGGGTTACTTGGCGGTGAACCTGGCGTCGATGGAAGCGTTCGACTGGTTATTGAACATTTCTGCTACCGCTGGTTTGATCGCCTGGGGGTGGATCTCGGTGTGCCACATCCGGTTCATGAACATCTTGCGGAGCCGAGGCATCGACCGTAAAACGCTCCCTTTCAAAGCGCCGTTCATGCCCTACGCCGCCTACTACTCGTGCTTCCTCATCTTCCTCATCGTGCTCGTCAACGGGTTCGACGTGTTCTGGGACGTCACCGCCGCCGGCTTCTTCACCGCCTACATCTCGCCCATCTTCTTCGTCTTCTGCTGGTTGGTGTTCACCATCATCTTCAACATGCCCAAGGAAGGCCCTTGGCATAAGCGGTTCTTTGCCGGCCTCAAAGGGTTCGACCCGCGCAAATGGGTGGTGCCCCTTGACGAGTGTGACATCGACACCGGGGCCCGGTACATCGAGGACCTCGACGTTGTCGACGAGAAGCCGATGCCGTGGTGGAAGCGGATCTTCAAGTCGGTCTTCTAATGTCTGCAAGCCCTTTCTTCCTTCCACTTTAATGAGACGATGTAACATAGGATTCTTAGGGGAGTCGTCGGCCGTGGTCTAAGCCACCTCCTGTCCCCGATTCAATGGTAAATACTAATATTCAAATGTACCAAAATCAGCCACTGTTTTCCCTTTACTTAAGCCTCGTTGGAATCACTGCCGTGATGTCCGTCACGTCCGTGGCATCCGTGTCGCGTATGTTGTGCTTCTTTTGACCGCACACATACAAACAGTGGCACAGCCCTGCCGCTGCAAATATAGATTGCTAAAAATGACACCTGTGCCCGGTGATGGAAACACGCACAGTGGCGCACGCCCTGGAGGAGTTTTTGGCACCGAAGCCAGCACGATGACACCGGGGCGACAGGGCTGGCTGCAAGGCAGAAACAAATGTTCTCTTGCGTTTTGTGGCCTTCGCCGATGAAATTAAGCTCAGGGTAATTATGTGGTTAATTATGTGTGGAGGTGGGCACTGATAGGATATCCAATTTCAATTTAATAATATACTCCATCACTTATTGGGGGTAATGTGTTCTGTACTCCTATTCGAGCCTGTGTTCTTGGTATTTTCGTTAATTTCTTATCAAAAACAACTTCCAAGTATTTTGTGGCTGAAAATAGCAAGCACCCTGTGTTACCGCGACTCTCAACCCAAATAGGCGAAAAACAAAACTTTGTCATGGAATTCGCGTTCAAGTGAACATTTCCTAGCAACCGACGCCAGGGTACGAGGTATCACCTGGGAATTTGACCCGATCGGTAAAACTCCTAGAAATGCCTACACTACTCGTCAGCTTACACATTGTTCATATTCATCAAAACGCAAGGGACTCTATAGCAATGCCCCCGACGCCTCTAACCTTTCAACTACCTAACCATGTCTAAATTGGAAAAAAAAAAATCAAAGAATAAGGGGGTGAATGTCCATTTAGTTGTAGAGAACAAACTTCGCCCGGCCCGAACGGACACCGACGGTGCACCCGTCCTTGCCCAGGCCGTTGTAGACGCCGTTCTCATACTTGCATTCCCCAGACACGTCGGCGCCGTCCTCGGCAACGATCTTGACGTTGAAGTTGAGCGCGTCACGGTTGTTAGGGTTAGGGATCAACGACAAGTACGACACGCCCGCGGCGTAGCCGGCACCGAAGTTCAAGGGGGCCCAGTTGCCGACACCGGAGCCGGCGTCAGACCAGATGCACCCGTCCTGGTACAGGACGCCGGCGTTGTTGACGTAGTACTGGGCCGAGGTGGGCTTGCCCTGCCATTGGTAGTAAGTTTCCTGGTCGACGGTGGTCAAGTAGTTCTTGCCGCCGGCGTTAACCACGGTGGGGATAACCATGTTTTCGGTACCGGGGTAGTCGGTACGGCAGATGGCGACCGACTTGTCCAATTGCGACACCACTTCGGCGGCGTCGACACCCCATTCACACAAGTACTTCTGGTTGGGGTTCGACTTGTAGAGCTTGCCGCCCTTACAGATCAAGCCACCGACAGAGACACCCGAGCCCGGTTGGTTCGAGGGCCATTGGGTCTTCGACATCCCCGGTTGACACGCGTACGAGCAGTAGAAGCCGTCCTGGCACAGGCCGCCGGTCTTCTCGTCAAACACCTTGCCGCTGTTGGAGTTGTACATCCCCGACCAGCCGCCGAGGCCCAAGTTGTTCAAAGGGATGACACCTTGGCCCGAAGGGAACGACGAGCAGTCGTGGACGCCGTCTTGGAACTCTTCGGTGGGGTTTTGGTAGGGGGCCAAGTCGCCGTTGATGCTACCGGAACCGCCCTGCGACGAGCCGCCAGAAGAGGAGGACGACGAAGTGGGGGCAGCCAGGGACGAGGTCTGAGTCGAGGCGCGGTCGGCTCTCGAAGGAGCGACGACGGAGATCGACGACCCGCCGCCAACGATGGCCTTGTTGACGCCGCCAATGTTCAACTCGTCGTCGCTCACCTTAGTGTCTTGCGCTTGAGCGGCGGTCGAGGTCGGTTGAGGCGATTGCGACGGCTGGGTCAGCGCTTGGTCCTGTTGGCCCTTTTGTTGCTGACCTTGTTGCGCGTCTTGTTGCCCCTGTTGGGTAGGAGCGGGCGCTTGCGACGTTTCGGTAGTGGCGATGGGGTTGCCGTTCTTGTCGACGGTGATGGTGACGTACTTGTAGTCGTAGACCACGGAACGCTTGTGCAAGTGGTGGCCGTGGAAGCGCACCCCTTGGTCACAGTCAGGGTCGGCCGGCGCTGCCACCGACAAGGTGGCTGCCATGGCGACTAAGCAGGCAGTGGAGAACTTCATGGGGAGAAAGGAACGACTAGTCCTGTTAGTAACGCGTCAACTAAAATGACTAACCCAGATTGAAAGCTCTAAGCTTATTGCTGGGGCCGTAGGTGGGGCAAACGTACCGGAAGTTGGATTGGGAGCTTAACAGGAAAAAGCTGGCTGGTCGCGCACTTTTATTTACATGGCACGCCAGGGCGGGAGGCCTGGCGCGAATTTCGGAGCGGGGCCGCGCAACCGGTGCAGCACAGGCCACGCGCGACAGCGACACAATAACCCTCGGGGCATGCGTTGAGGTTATCCACACGACGAGGCTTTGAGTATTAGAGATAGGCCAAGACCCCGACGACGATAATCTTGCTATTCATGCTATTAGGCTACTGTGGCGACGTTGTTTTCATCCCCGCTTACTTGCGGGTGCCGTCTTGAGTGCTGGCGGTGATGGTCAACAAAGGGGCTCAGCACTGGTTTATGCCGCGTCGTGCTGCAGTGGCTGCGCTGCAAGCGCTCAGCTCCTCTGAGATCGCACACACACACACTGCCTGCTTCCCAGCGCTATGAGAACGTAGACGCACCGTGACGGCGTGCCTTTAAGGGGGGTTGCGAAGAAAAATGGCCGAGAACCCCCCCTCCCACGCCAATCGATGCCGAACCCAGTGGGTGCAGCAATTCACAGAATCGATTAGTAAACTGGTTAAATGACAATTTCGAGGCCACGACAGTTGCCGCCCCCGATAGCTGAAGCCTCGGTGGCGCCGTTTGTGCCTGATAGTGATGACTTTGGCGAGTGGCACCGCGATTATAAACACCCGTTATTTTTTCCTATTCGGGGCGAGTGAGGTGATCGCTGACGATCTCACTACCTGGAGACAAAATGCGTAGCGAACCACCACCACTCGACAACCAGGCACCACCTAGTACAATACTGGAAATCCTCTAGGAAGTTGTCTGACACTGATAGTTCGTAGGAGTTCCAGGCCACAGGGCTAAGCCCTTCCCGTTTGGGCACGGCTACCAGCACACGAGTGCCTGGACTGACACTGGCTCGGTGGTGTCTACAGGTCTATCGTCCCGTGTCTACCGTATCTCTCAGTTTCGTGTCTGTCTGGCCACATTCCTCTCCGTGAAGTAATGCGATGACGTGGGAAAAAAAAAAGAGAGCCCAATGGTCGAGGCTAAGGCACTGGCAGCAGGGTGCATTGGGAATGTACATCATTACTCCCCATTCCGCTACTGTGCCCACTGCGACGAGGGGAACTTGGGTTCGTGTGCCCACCAATTGTCGCCCCGATGCCCAGGATGAAAACGCTAGAACCGGGCATGCTTCCGCTGACATAGGTGTAGGAGCATCACCTGAGATGTAGCAGCACCATGTAGGTCTCTGATGCCGACAGGCATGCTCCCTGCTAATTGGTGACATTGGTTTCCTGCGTCGACCACCACCGACTACAAGTTGTTGTTTGTGAGGGCCCAACACTAGCTTTAAGTTTAGAGCAAACACTAGGGGTGCTCTGTTTAGTTCAGCAGGGGGTTTTAGCTGGCTATGCGTTTGTTTGTTGTCAAACCTCGTATGCTCCGCTTTTCCCTCGCGATGTCATTTCGCAGTGGCATGTAACCGTTAGACGTACGGCACCCCAGAATCCATCAGGGATCCGATCTAACGGTTTTTTTTTTTATTTTGTCGAGGCATAAAGCGTCGGTTCCCATCACAACCACGACGACTACCAAAAAGTACGGGAATTAGATTGAATTAGATCGTACTCAGTAGGCACCAAGCTAGACTATTGGTTGACGGTAACCTATCAAATTTACTGAGTGTAGAGCTCATTGTAGCTTGAAATTAGCGATGCCCTAGCCATGCGACTCCCTCATGAGACCTACAGAAGGATGACCACCTACTTGCCTCCTGAAATTTTGATGTCCTTGGCACTGCATTCCGTCGACAGAATCTGGACCATCTCTCTGGTCAAAAATATTCTCATCCATCCCCCCTGTCGATGCCATGTGGGTCTCCTATACCTTCTTAGCGCCGTGCCGAGGTAAATTTCTACATAATCTAGATACCCGAGCGAATCGGCAGTTAATTTTTAGGGGGCCGGCCTGCGTTTGTGCTCCTTTATGGTGGGGCTTATAAGTGGGGTTTCTTAGTCTACCATTAGGTAGATCGCGGAGACGAATTTCCGGGGGAGTCTAGACTTTCACTCACCCCCCTTAAAGCATTAGTGGCATCAGTCGAGGCCCTACCTTGGTGGCTTATGCCTCCAGAAGTCGACCAATGCCATCACCATCATCTCTCAGTGTTAGCGAGCCATCTGTGGCAGGGAGACTTCATCGAAGGTCTCAAATGGATGGTAGTCGATACCCATTTATACTTGAGGTTGGTGACAGATTTACGATAAATCATTAGTGGTGCCCGTTAAGGCTGGACCCGACTTTATGATGTACATGAGTCCGTGAACGTCAGCTTTATCGATGGCCACTGGTCAGAGGCAAGTCTCTGGTAGTGAGCATTCTATGAGCGAGGAGGGAGGAGGAAGGTTGCGAAGAGACGACAAGTGGCTATCCCCACTAATTTGATAATAGTAACAGATTTACGATGGTAGGAAGTAGAGGTTCATAACGGAAACGTCCCGTTACCTCGAATATATAGATTGTTGTAGACTTCAATATAGTTGTGGGGGGGTCGCCCACGTTGAGCAAGGTCACGTTTTTAGGGTCGGTAACCCTAACGCCGCGCGCGCGCCTGTCTGCACACCACTCGCACCCTACCAAAATTTTCACCTCTCGCTCGTACCACTCCACCACACAGTATGTCCCTCCCCGACTCGTTCAACTTGACTGCTGAAGACGCCAAGCTTCTTTTGGCCGCCAACGTCCACTTGGGCTCGAAGAACGTCCAGGTTCACAACGAACCCTACGTCTACAAGACCAGACCCGACGGTGTCAACGTCATCAACATCGGCAAGACCTGGGAAAAGATCGTCTTGGCCGCCAGAATCATCGCCGCCGTCCCCAACCCCTCCGATGTCGCTGTGTGCTCGCTGAGAACCTTCGGCCAAAGAGCCGTGTTGAAGTTCGCCGCCCACACCGGTGCCACCGCCATCGCCGGTAGATTCACCCCCGGTAACTTCACCAACTACATCACCAGATCGTTCAAGGAACCCAGATTGGTCATTGTCACCGACCCCAGAACCGACGCCCAAGCCATCAAGGAATCGTCGTACGTCAACATCCCCGTGATCGCCTTGACCGACATGGACTCGCCCTCGGAATTCGTCGACGTCGCCATCCCCTGTAACAACAAGGGTAAGCACTCGATCGGTTTGATCTGGTGGTTGATCGCCAGAGAAGTCTTGAGACTCCGCGGCATCATTCCCGACAGAACCACCGAGTGGTCGGTGATGCCCGATTTGTACTTCTACAGAGACCCCGAGGAAATTGAACAAAACGCCTTGGAAGAAGCTCAAAAGGGTGACGAACCCGAAGCCGCTGAAACCGAAGCTGCCGAAACCGAATGGACCGGCGAAACTGAGGAAGTCGACTGGGCTGACTCGGGCGCCACTCCTGCCGCCGAAGACGCCGCCGCTTCTAACTGGTAAATAATAGGGGAGACGATATAGATGAAGTCATATTGTAAAATACACGAGAAAGGAAATTAATTAATTCATGTCAATTGGCACCACTACTGTTTGTTTAGTTTCATCCTCATGTAGTCTCAGTCGTTACTGACGTCGACTTTGTTTCGACCCTAGTTGATTCAGCAAGGGTGTGTGAAAAGTTTTTTTTTTTTTGTTCGTCCTGCACACTGGCAGCACGCTCGCTATAAAACGTTTGAGCAGCGCTCTCATCGCCCTATTATTTGGCACGGATCATCCTCCACACCGCCCCCCGAGCCGCGGGTTCTGGTGACGGTTCTCGTCACCGGCCCATCTATTCAGGCTTGGGGTGGCACGCGGGCCTAGTTGAACTGCACTCCGCTTCTGGTGGCTGGTCTCAGACGAACAGCCCGGTTTATCGTGTGCTATCTCCTCCATAGATAGAGCACTTCATGCCCGGGCAACATCTCCTCTAGTAGTCTATAAACACTTTAATTAATTCTAGGCCACGACCCTGTCTGATGCAACAATTATACTCGATTGATTTTCACGCTTCCACGGCAATTTCTTGGCTTCATCGCCGCCGGCTATTCGGGACTAGGAAGATAGTTCAAAAAAAATCGCGACTTACTCTCTTACCGCCTAACGCCGACCACAAAAGACGCGGCCCTCCCTTTACGTTACCCCCCTTTAGGATTTAATATTCAAGCTTACCGTCCAACACCAGCACAATCACGCTTATCTCCCGATTTACGACGGTTTACGACTCTCTCTGTACCCATACCGCTATAAGCACAGTCTAGCCTCCGTCACTAAGAACTATATTTATCCCGGTGCGACCGTGTCGCCATTGTTTACTACAGCCCAGGCAGCAGCGCGCATCATCTGACGATTCGGTGATGCGCCCAAACCGGACGCCTAGACTTCTTCTTTCGAACCACTTCTCGACCCATCTCCTCTTTGAACCATCATGCTCGTGGGGAATCTGCTCTTGTGGGCAACGGTGGCGCTTGCTGGCGTGCCCCTTCCCTTCCTGGTGCGCCGAGGCGACCTGAACGGCGACGTGGCCCAGAAACTGATAAACCGGGCCTATTTCAGCGAGGGGCCCTCCGCCAGACGAGATGGCCACGTCGAGATCCAGCTCCACAATGAAAAGACTTTCTATGTTAGTGAGCTTGAGATTAGCGGTCAAAAAGTCGAAGTGTTGGTCGATACTGGCAGTGCCGACCTCTGGGTGCCGCTGGGCGACGTCGACTGCCACCAGCAACTGTCGTGCACCAAATACGGGCTGTTCTCGCCGGAAAAGCTGGACCTGTGGAAGAAAAACAGTACCGCTCCGGCGTTTGAGATTTCGTACACCGATAAGTCGAAACTGATTGGTACTTGGGGCCACGACGACGTCAGCGTCAGTGGCACTACTGTGAAGCTGTTATCTTTCGCTGTGGTCAACCAGACGCTGTCCAACGTCGGGGTGCTTGGTATTGGCCCTCCTAAATTGGAGGTGACCAATTCGGCTAACTCTCCGGGCCATCTGCCCTACGTCTACGAAAACTTACCCGTGAAGTTGCGTAACCAGGGTTTGATTAAGCGTACGGTGTTTTCCGTATACATGGATGCTCTGGACGCCGACCAAGGCACCATTCTCTTCGGCGCTATCGACTCCGCTAAGTTCGACGATAAACTCACCCGTGTCCCCATTGTCAACACTAGACGCGACAAGTTCGACGAGCCGGCGATGGTGGACGTGGTGGTCAACGGCATCAACATCGTCAATGGCGACGACACCGTCGAGATCCTGAAGAACAAGTACTACGCTTTGCTTGACACGGGGCTGACGGTGCTGTACCTCCCCAAGTCGCTTTACAATAAGCTTACTGGTACTCTTGGTGCCACCCAGACGCTGATTGGGGCTCAGATTGACTGTAAATACAGAGACAGCGACGTCGACATCGAAGTATCGTTCTCGGGTGTGTCGATTAAGTTCCCCGTCTCTGACTTGATCGTCGCCAGCACCTCCAGCTGCTACCTCGGGATGTTCCCTCAGGACCTCGACTCTATCACCTTGGGTGATAACATGTTGCGTCACGTCTACTTGGTGTATGATTACGACAACTTCGAGGTGGCGTTGGCGCAAACCAAGTTCACGCTGGACACGTCGTTCGACGAAGTGGACCTGCCGGAGATCCCCAACGCCGTCACCGCTAAGGCCTACCTGGAGACTGACGTGAAGGGGTCAGTCACCGAGGACAACGCCTCCACCACGATCGTGCCCCAAGCCAAGGCCGTCACCGACGATCTGGGCTCATCTTCGGACTCGAAGTCGGACTCTGCCTCCGAAACTTCCTCCGATGCTTCTGACTCTTCCCAATCTTCGGATTCTGCATCCTCCACGGACGACCTGGACCTGTCGCTGGCCTCGACCACCGACGACTCCAGTCTGACCTCAGACGCTTCCTCCACCAGCGATGGTCTGTCTACGGACTCATTGTCAAAAACTACATCATCATCATCTTCTGCTTCTGCTTCCGGTAAAGAGGCGACATCGTCGACATCGGCAGACTCGTCGTCTGACCACTCATCGGCCACCAAGGCCGGCATGGCCGTGGCCCTCACCGTGTCGCCCCTCATGTACTTGGCCATTCTCCTTGCATAATACTGCCATCTCATCAAAAATCTTAAAGTTCATCAAATAGTTTTATTATATGCGTTTTCTCGTGAATTCTGTGTAGATGACGTCATTGAGCGATCCTCCTCGATCGACAAAAAAAATGGAGCCTACGGTTACCCTTTCCATCACTGTCCCCCACGTCTAAACTATAAATAGCCCAGCCCCTTGCGACAACTGCGCCATCCACCACCACCCCTCGAAAATGACATTATCAATAATTACAATTTTCCCACTCGAGGATTGTCACCCGCACTCGGGGTCATTGTTATCCATGTTTCCTCTTCGAGGGTATACTTCCTGCACACAGGCACAGGGTTCTGCTCGATTGTAAATAGACGTACAGACATATTAGGCAGGGTCCCCATCCCGTCACCGTGCCATGGGAATCGCCAACAGGTTTCTGGAGTGGGTATACACCCTCTCCACCCGCGACAAGTACTCCGAGTACGATTCCCGCAACTCGTTCAACCGTCTCCACAAACCCCAGCTGCTGCTGATGTACCGCCACGCCAATCTGCTGGGCACCGATCTCATGGCCCCGGAGTACGAGCTGCCGGCAGATGGCTCCGATGAAGGCGTCCACGAGGTCAGATTGGCCTGGAGACACATTAACAACTGGATGAGCCGCGAGTACCCTGAGTTAGCGCTGACATTAGAACTGAAATGTACCGATGCCGATCTTAAAGATTTCCAAAAGGATCTCGACGTCGTGCTTCCTCCCTGTGTCAAGGAGTTCTATAAGATGACTGATGGTCAGTTTGGTCTGCTTCCAGAGATCCCTGGTTTGATCTATGGCCTTAAACTCTTGCTGTTGGACGATATCTTGACCATGACCTTACACTGGCGTAAAGTGGTGGCAGCGTTAGCGGGAGATGTTCAGCCTACAGAGATTCAACAACTCCTGCTGACCCACTCGGTAACGTCAAAACATCTGGGATTCCATGACCGGCAATTGCCCGGGATGTCTCCACCTGAAAGAGTCGCTATTGGTAATAAGCTGCGACAGCCTAATCTCCAGGTCCTGGTCAGCGCCAAGCAGCGATCGATCCCTCCAAACCATGTAGTGGAAGTGTTTGCTCATCCGATGTGGATCCCGTTAATCACTGATGGTGTGGGAAACTGTATTGGTATTGACCTTGCTCCTGGTCCTGAAGGTAAATCAGGCCAAGTGATTCTCTTTGGCCGTGATTTTGATGACAAATACGTCGTGGCCAAAACCTGGGGCGACTACCTTCTATCGTATGCTAACGATCTCGAGTCAGGTAACTGGGATATCGACTACCTGCGGAAAGTGATGGAAGACGACATTTTCATCGGCAACGAAGGCGAGTTGAAGTTTGTTGATCGCGTGACCAAGGCCGACGTGCCCTATTTCGATGTGTTGCGTACTAGAACAGTGAAACAGTGGATTAAAGATACACCCCACCCTGAACCCTATGAACGCGCCCTTATGGCAGAATTGCTCGGAGGCCGCAAACGAGATTCCGGGATTGACTCATTCAAACGACTGAGTTCATCACAGGTGGAGCTGGACATAAAATCGCGACTAGCCCGTCTTGATTCTCACGACTTAGCCAGCCACACCAGCGACGAAGACCAGCTGTTATCGCCTCCGGTGAAGTCACCGGAACAGGTGTTGGTGCAAGAGTTTAACGACGTGGAATTATAATACAGAAATCACCAGATGATTCGTTGCGGGTGGTACTCGGTGTCCCAAGGGAACTCGTAACCGAAGAATACCGCAAACACAAACGTGATGATGGCCATCAAATACAGGAACTCAACGAGATTGCGCCACTTACCTGGGGCCAGGTTGATGAACATGCGGAACACCACCACGGGTACGATGTAGTACCGCGGCTCAAACAATGGCAGCGGTACAAGCGTCAACACCATTGCTCCGAAAAAGGTCAGAGTGGTGATCCACGATAACCTCCGAGCCTGGAGCAACTGGTTGACCACAACCCAGCCACAGGCATGGTACACGGGTGCCATCCAGATCCCGGCTCTTTTGAACAATTTGCGATAGATATAGAACAGATAGTGCCGGTTGTCGGCGACAAGGAACGGGTGCACGGTAGTGCCATACTCAATGATTTTAACCAACCCGTAGATAATGGCGACTTGAAGCACTGCCGAGAGCCCGTAGTAGCGAGTCCAGGCCCGAAGATAGTCGCGAGCCAACTTGGGTGAAAGCCACGCAGGCCAAGTGAAAGCGCAAATAAATAATAGGCAATACAACACTTGGGCGGAGTGGAACGACACCTGATGATTCAGCTTATCGCCAAGTGTAATGCCTCCGTTTTGCCACACAAACCCAGCGAATGCAGCGAACGTCGCGTAGAAGGGAACCACTTTGACCAGCAATAAACCCGATAAAAACGGCTTAAGCCGATTCCAGCCAAACTTGCCTCGAGCATGGTAGTCTAACGCAATTGATAGCACAAACGCCACCCATAAGATGTTGGTTTGTCTAAACCACAAACTGATAAACCCAAGGATCCCACCGAGAAGTAAACGGGGACCAGTGGGGACCATTGACGCCACCAACGCTGCCACCACGAAAATTGTCAGCCACACATCGGTGTAGAATAGGAAGTAGTAGGTGTATATCAAAGGCTGGCCCACAATGGTGGCGATCCACCACTGGCGTTGAGGGAAGAACCACAACACAATGGGGAACACCAAGAGTCCCCCGAACAAGTTGACGGCCCGCCAATTGGTGATAGAATCCTTCAAGTTGAAGAGTTTTATGAACCCATAGCCAAGCCAGTAAAGTCCAGGCGGCGTAGTGATCTTGTCATCCCATTCCTTGAAGTTGCCACTGAGGTATGTTTGAGCCTGGCGGATGTGGAAGAATTCGTCAATGAAGAGATAGTCCACTTTCTTGTGACAGTAATAGGCAATCACCAGCGCCGCCGCCACAAGCACCCCGTAGCAGGTGAATGCGAGACCCAGCTGTCTGTGATCTGGTACCACCAACATTGACCGCGCAGAGAGATTGTAGGATGAGATCAAATCTACCGTTGCTATCTGACAATTACGGATGACAAAAGTCGATGTCTGTGATTAATTTTAGGACCACAAACACCCGGTTCCAAATAGAGAGGCGACCGAGAGTTCCGAACCACACCAGTGACGTTGTGCCCTTCTCACTTTTCTTCCACGTGAATACCGTACTAAAATGGATACTAAGTGGGAAACTCGGCGCAACGGAGAGGTAGGAGTACACGACCATCAACAACTTCAATGAATGGTAATGAAAAAAGCAAAAAGTATGCCTTCAGCCAGATTCGAACTGACGATCTCCTCATTACTAGTGAGGTGCCTTACCACTTGGCCATAAAGGCTTGTGCGCAAAAAACTGTGCTGGGTTTCTTAGCACAAACAAAAATAAAGCCATTTTGGCGCTCCATTTTGCTCAAATCCGAGTATTCTACGCGGGTTTACATGCCATAATAACATCCTATTGGTAAAAGGTAATTCTGGTGATTCAAATGTAGTAATGGAGCAAGTTAAAGCACGTTCACATGCTGCCAAAATTGTACTGTAAATCTAAACAGAATTATCAAAACTATGTTAAAAATAGAATTTCCAGGGAATTTGTCTATCAAAGCTTAATGGTAGTTTGTGTGCTACAATTTACCTAAATTAAATATGCATTAAATCGTTAATCGAAACCCAGACTAGTGAACAAATTGCTTCTGTTTTGTTTCAGCTTCAACACAGACCGTTCTATCATTTCCTGTTTGGCCAGCTTCAACGACACCTTGGCCAGAGCTTGTTGCTTGGACATGTATGAGATAGAAGCCTTGGACCCAGCAGCGGCCTTGAATTGCTTATTGACGGTGACTCCCAGGAAAGTCGGTCTCCCCTCATTGATGATCACTTGATCAGGACTAGTCTTGCGGAACAGTTGCACCATCAGAGGACGCTTAAGTTGGACAAACTGATCATCATCGTCGTCATCAGCGTCAGTGTCACCACCTTCTTCAACTTCAGCGATACTGCGCTTGCGCAGTTGCGACGCCAAGTGACTCATACACTTTGATTTGAGAACAGAAATATCCTCAATCGCTCCGTCATCATCAATGAACCCGTGCTGTAATTTAGCGAGAGCGTTAAGTTGAGTGTAGTCGTCACGTTTAGCGCTCAAGAACGACAACTGCTTTTGAACAAAGTCTTCCTTGATGATCATCTTACGTTTGAGTTGAGACCCGTCATCGTCGTCCAGCGGGGTCAGCGAGTTTTCATCTGAGTCGATAGTGATGACACTTTGAGGTTCCTCAATTGTGGTGAAGAACGCGTGTTGCTTGTCGCTGGCCAACTTCTTCAATTGGTCACGATTAGCAGCCATACGGGCAATTTGCTCCGCCCGCTTCTGACGACGGTATGCCATCAAGATCTCGTCTTCCTCGTCACTGAACTCCAAGTCGAGCCCTCGAGCAGCCGCGCGCTTTGAGAGACGATGGTTCTTAATGTCATCAAGCAAACGTTCCAATTGCTCTTTGTCCTTTATCTTGTACTGCTCCATGAACTTTTTGCGGATCTCCTCGTCATTGAGATCAAGATCAAGGGCGTCATCAATCATTCTCTCATCTTCTGAGTTCACATCGTCCAGCAAGTCTCCGTCAGCACCACCAATACCTTGCCATTCGTCTTCGGATTCAACGGCTTCGTTGTTCAAAATCTCTTTGACTCCGGCATTGCGTTCAAGTGCTTTGCGTCGCTTACGCTCTTTCAATTCCTGTTTGCGAATCTTTTTCTTATAAGCTTCAGCCTGTTGCTTCAACATTTCTTGTCTGGAAGCCTCATCGATCTCATCGTCTTCCTCCTCAATAGTTTCCACAGGAGCACCAACCGCAGCCACAGCAGCAGCAATCTTTCTGCGACCACGCTTAAGCAATGCTGGATTGATCACCTCTTCATCCTCCAGATCGACATCCATTTGGGTAGGGTCAACTTGAGTCGGCTCAATCCCGATTTCCAGCGTGTTGAGGTCACTGAAGGTAAGGATGGAGGTGTTCGCATCAGCAGGGGCGTCTAATTCTGCCGATCTGTCATGAGCACTCAGGATCAGATCATCATCTTCGGAAGTTTTGTGGTCGTGGTCCGCCATCAAGGGCTTGGTTTGACCCTTAGGGACAATGCCTTTCAGACCCGAGTCGGTGTCATTGGCGGAGTTTGTTTCAAACATAAATGCATCGTCCTTGCGTGACTGCAGGCTGCCAATCTGAAGTTGGTCATCCTCACTTTCGTCATCACTGCTATGGTCAACGGCTTCGCCTTCGCTTTCCTCGATGTTGTCACTGCTATAAATCGAATCAGCAACAGAAACGTCACTGACAGCAGCCTCCTCTTCATCATTGTCGTTGTTGGCAGCACGCTGTCTCCGTCTTGCCCTCGCCCGCTCTTTACGTCTGATGGCTTGATTCCGCTCAATTTCTTGCTCCAATAAACTGCCCATCATCGCCTCATCCCTCTCAATCTCCTCGAGGATTTCGTAGTTTGGATCGGCCTTGCGCTGCTCTTCGATTTGATTGACAGTAGTTTTCCGCAAATCAAGAATGACTTTGTTTATGTTTTGTTTGCGGTCAGTAGGTACAAGACGTCTCACACTCACGGGGATTTTGTTGCCCTTAGAATCTTCGCCTACAATCCGCCTCAGAAATTTCGATTTGATTTCAAGCTCTTGATCCTTTCTAAGGGACGGTATGCTGTCTGACTCGCTATCATCCAATTCAAGCTCACTAGGAGGTTCAGCGGAAGAGAATGCACGTACCAGATCCAAGTACCGAGTGATAGGGTCGGACCCCACTTCGCGAGGTGACAGGGCAAGCTTGGATTGTTCAGGTTGTTGGGGTGAGGTGTTAGGGGTCAGTTCCAATTGACGGCTTTGGCTTTGCATCATATTATCATCATCATTGTCACTGTCATCGAAACCTGCCATCAATGATTGTTTAGCTTGGTTAGCCACGGGAGCAAAGTCAGGGCGGATATCTCGGGCACGCTTGCGGATACCGAGGAACTTTTCAGCTTCCTCGAGTTGTTTGGTAGAGGTACGCGCCTGCGTGATCACCTTTGAGGCCAGCTCGATTTCAAGGTCGTCATCGTCGTCGTCATCATCACTGGGTTGGGCATTGGCGTTTTCCAGTTGGATCTCTTGAAGCATCCGCTCCCGGGAAGCTCTACGTTTAGCAGCAAGCTCCAAGATGCGAGCTTGACGTTCTTCAGCAGTGAGTTCAACGGGGATCTCGTCGCTGGACGCGTCATCTGCAACTACCTGAGTTTCCGCGAGAGGAGCGATAACTTGGGTAGTTGAGTCGTCAATTGTAGGGCTTACGTTTTGAGTGACATCAGCGGTAGAATTCACTGGTTGTGTGACGTCGATTGGAGTCGCCTGCGGTTTTTGTGGCGGGGCAAGCTCGGCGTGATTAATGGGCAACTGAGGGAGCTTTTGAGTCTCATCATTATTCACCGCAAGCATCGAGGTGGAAAAGCTGAACTCGTCCTCGCTTTCCTCATTGTGTTCGGGTTCATCCAGCAGGTTAACTTGGGTATGGATAGGCTCTTCTGGGGCCACTACTTGAGTGGGAGCATCATCAACAACTTTGGGATCAACCGATTCCACAATGGGATTTGGAGACTCAACTGGTTCGGGAACACCAGTGATACGTCTCTTGATCGCTTCAAGAAGACCCAGAGAATCCCTGAGTCTCTGAGTAGGGTCCATCGCGAGCAATTAGTGGTTGGTGCTGGTGCGATATGGTAAGAGGGCTTGCTCGCTGCAAGTCTACGCGCTACGCGTGTGGTAGAAGACTTTACCTGCACATAAGCGTTACGGCTACGAGAAGCGACGGGGATCAAGGGCCATCGAAATAAATTTGCAACTTTTGGTCCAACTGCCAAATGTGATCATTACTAATGGATTTCACCGTATATTACTTAGTTGCACAATTGTGACTTTGTTGGAGTTTGCAAAAACTCTTTTGTGGAACCCAATTTGTA